TTTAAATACTGAAACTTGTATTTTTGCCTATTTAAATGTAAAATTAATGTAAACGCAAGACAAAAACTATTAAAATTCAAAATATGTATGTATATATATATATTAGCGCTGTCAAAATTAACACGTGAACGCATGCGATTAATTTTAAATAATTAACGCGTTAAAAAAATTTTACGTAATTAACGCAGTTCAGGTTTTTTTAACTTCCTGTTGTGGTGGACGTGTGTTCAACATGCAATAAATGTGGATAAGACCAAGGAAGCACTTTTTGAAGGCAAGTTCCAGTATAAAACAATTAGTTGCATCACAGGTTATCCAGAGTTTCATGCAGTTTCGGGTGTTTCATTTTTAACTTTCGTCTTCTGTTGTAAGTTGATACCGCATGGCGAACAGAAAGAAAATCCTCTGCATTTCGTGACTCGGTTTTTCTTTAAATTAAGGTTCCTTTTAAGGCTACACGGTAGAATTTTAATAAGAGTATAATCTTAATCATATTAAAACCGGAGTATTGGTGTCTTATGTGAATGTACTCAGAACGCCTGGTGAAGTCGCGAGCTGTCAAAGACAGGGCATTACTCTGCCTTTCAGCATGAGCCCTCCAAGTTTAGCGTGTTTCCTCATTAAACGCAATGAAAGCGTATGCTTTGCGTTGTTGTGTCAGAATCCTTGTGAAATACAGTAATACTTAAGGACGCTTAGTTTAAGCAAATTTGATGAACGTGATCATGCGTGTTGAATCTGAGGGGAGTCCCTCCAGTATGGAAGGCCGTTGGGGCCAAAACGTCTGCAGCGCGTTGTGTGATACTCCTAGTCTTAGCAACTGGATGAATGTAAAGGAGGATTAAGCAAAATTGTTTCTACTCTATAATTAATGTTCTCAACTCACAGCAATAAAACTTTACAATGAGTGCAACAGTTTGTGTTCTATAGTTTATTATTTTATTTTTTCATTTTCCATATCTGCAATTCCTGTATTTTGGCATTGTTTTGCAGTCCACTTAGAATCCAACATGGAAATCAGTGTTTTCTTTATTGGCATTGATTGTTTTGAAACTTAAATGTCATTAACATGCCTTTGTTTTTATTTCTGTAATAAATATGGCTGTCAAGCAGGATCTTGATGGTTTATTATGGGTTTGTTGTTTACATAAAGGAATCTGTGTTACAAGCTAAACAAAAATTCTATTATATTTTGAATTTTAATAGTTTTTGTCTTGCGTTTACATTAATTTTACATTTAAATAGGCAAAAATACAAGTTTCAGTATTTTAAAAGTGATTAATCGCGATTAATTATTTTAAAAAGGTGCGATTAATTAGTAAATTTTTTTATCTATTGACAGCACTAATATATATATATATATATATATATATATATATATATATATATATATATATATATATATATATATATATATAAAAAAATATATATATATATATATATATATATATATATATATATATATATATATATATATATATATATATATATATATATATATATATATATATATATAAAAGGTATTTTTGAATACTTCTGGCATGGCTATTACAAATGGTTGTAAACGTAAGTGAAAAATTTATTCAACCCCTAAACACACACTTGTACAGCTATTGTTATGGGGAGTCTCATAGACACAATGATGTTTCTACTGTATATTTTATCCCCACACCCCAACCCTTTACACCTAAACCCAAACCTTACTGGATCAATCTGCATTTTTTTCATTTATGATCTTTTTTTGTCATTGGAACAAAAAAAAAATCCCAACAAGGTCAACGTTTACTGGTGTTACTATACTTGTGGGGACATTAAGTCTCCATAACATGATGAATACAAACTACACACACACACACACACACACACACACACACACACACACACACACACACACACACACACACACACACACACAAACACACACACACACACACACACACAGACCTTGGTTTTCTTCATCTCAGACACGTCCTGCTGCAGTTTCTTCAGCTGTTTCTCGTACTGTGATTGGTTCTTCAGCAGTCGGGCGTGCTCCTTCTGTGCCGACTGCAGTTTCTGCAACTCTTTGTTCATGGAGTTCAACTTCTTCTCGTATTCAGACTTGATCTTCTTTGCTTTCTCCTCCGTGCACGTCTCGACTGAGCCTGCACACAAATAAGACCTAAATGAAGACACTGAGTAGCTGAAGTCCTGCTTTCCATGTGCCATGTGAAGGAAAAAGACCTGTAACTTTTATTGTTGTTGTTTTCAATCAAACCAGAAGAGGGCAGTAAAGATACACAGATTTTACTGATCATTTGCTTTCCTTCAGTGTTTTGCAAATGTTTTTACCTATATAATCTGCATCAATTTGATAAAATTACAGTTTTTTATTACAGTAAGTTTATATATATATATATATATATATATATATATATATATATATATATATATATATATATATATATAGTTTACCCTGCTTGAAATTGTCAGATGATCTTTCCTTCCTTTAGAAATCATTCAAACTCAAAACAAATAAGAAAAGTTTAAGAAAAAAATAAAATAAATAAATAAATAAAATAAAAATAAATAAATAAATATTTTTTTTCTTAAAAAATATATATATATATATTTTTTTTTCTTTTTTCTTAATAATATAATATAATAATCCAAGACATCCTAATTAATAAGCAGAAGAAATTGCTTTGATAATAATAAAACCTATGACTGATAATAGTTAATAATTTATAAAAACTGACGGAAGTAATGAAAACCAGTTGATTCTAAATGATCATTTACAAATTGTTTAATCTAAAATAGGAAATTCATGCCACTGCACCACGAATCAAGTCTAAAAATTATTATTATTATTATTATTATTATTATTATTATTATTAAATACTAAAAATCTATTAAATATTAAGTGAAGATCATGTGCTGTGAAGATTTTTTTTCTCGTAAATCTCCTACTGTAAATTCATCAAAACTCCTTTGTTGATTAGCAATGTGCATTTCTAGCATTGCTCACAAAACATCAGTGGGAGGCTTATTAATTCATATTTCAGTTGATGTATAAATCACAATTTCAACAAAAAATGACTTGATAATAAAAGTTTTGTGGTCAAAATCAGTAACTGCACAATTATTTCACTATGTCTAACACGATTGTTACTGTATTTCTACTCAAATAAACACTTCTTGTGCTTCATATGTTCAACAATTCGTTAGCACTTTATTTAAAAGTGCAAGTCAAACTATTAACAAACTACCAACTAAGACTTTCAGCTCAACAAACTACTAGTTAGCCGCTTATTAATAGCTAGTAAACTAGTTGTCAGTTAAGATTAGCTTCGTAAAATAAGATTGTAATGGTCAGGAGTGGCCAACCCTGTTCCTGGAGAGCCGCCTTCCTGCAGATTTCAGTTGCTACCCATAT